AAGATGCATGACTTTCATCTGTAATCATGATAAAAGACAATCTATATAATGTAGTGTAGTGTAGTGTTTGTAGTAAAGCAATAAAATTCTCATTGGCTCTGTTTTGATGCTTTAAATTACTGCTAGAAGAGGCACTAGTATAGTGGCCATTTTTTATCACGTGATACCAATGGAATGCAATAATAGCAATTCAACCATTAGACCCTTGCAATTATTACTATTAATCAAAGGTCAACTGTGTGTGTGTCATTCCTCCTCTGGAAAGAGACATGATAAGTAGATCAACTGTAGTGAAGGTTGTAGTTGTTTTTCTAGTAGTGCAAGTGCTGCTGTATGAAACTGGTGCATTCTCAGCTTTATTTAAAAAGGTACCATACCACAGTAGTCTAGACTATTTTTACTTTCATTAATAACTTAGCCACGTAGTACAAACCAGAATATTGAATCCGAGAAGTCTAACTGGTACGACGACACTGAGGACACTGCTGGGACTGAGAACACTATAGCTAGCAAGGCTAATAACATTGGCCTCAGCAAAGTGAGTGACAGGGTGGATAAAGGTACCGTATTTGCTCAAATAAACGCCCTGCTTAAATAAACGCCCATGCTAGATATTTTCTAACTATAGATATGCATATTTTACCCAGTATATGTGCCATAGGATTTAGATTGTGCCAGATATAACTGTTGGAGTACAGTTTGGAATGTTTGAAGGTCGCAGGTTCGAATCCTCTTGGGGCTTTTTGTTTTTTTTACCTGATTTTTTTCCTGTTAAGAAATAAACGCCCGGGCGTTTAATCGAGCAAATACGGTACTGTAATGATGTGAAATCAAAATCATTGAAAATGGGAATTGGGCCACACCCCCTAAATCATGTAGTCTACACAGCCAATAATTAGCATGTATGATACAAGACACTCCTTAAAATCAATGAATAAAGCCTGATTACAGTATTGATACAGTCTAACAAGTATACATCATTGCTGAATCATGCATGTTGCTCTGGATGAACTAGTATGAATTCCAGCATGATTGTATCAAGGCTGATAGATCAACCTAGGCTCATTGCAATGTTACCTGCTCAAAATCCATGATTCAGGATGCATTAGGCCGGATCGGGACTGACATCATTCATGATTCAATCACTGTGTATTTACTTTCATTAATAACTTAGCCACAGAGTACAAACCAGGATTATGATTCCAAGAAGTCTAACTTGCATGAGACTAAGAACACTGGTGTTAGCAAAGTGAGTTACCATGTACATGCAATACTGAGTACTATAATGACATGAAATTGGTGGGCCACACCCCACTAAATCATTGTTGCCAGTTTGAATACTGAGCGAATTATCATAGTTTTATTATTTTTTAGAATTATAAGAATTATACTTTTATTTATGTCAAATGTAGTGTTATAGACCTCTTCAAGTTGGAATAAATTACCGTACGGTTGGTAAATTTCGTGGGGTATTAATTTTCGTTAATTTTGTGGTTTATTTTTATCCACGAAATTTTAGCCCCTACCCACCTACACATAAAAGCTAATTAACGGGCTATGCAGAGCTCTAACTACTATTTTCAAGCCAGTAGAGGAGCCAGAGTTTTTGTCTGTTACTCCATATTCCACCATAAGCCATGTGTTGGAAGCTAGTCCAGTAGATCCAAGTGAAAAGAAGTTTGCTAACTACCACCCACGAATATTTGTACCCACGAATATTAGCTTCTAAGGACATTTTGGAGAAAACACAAAATTTTGGACCCTCGAATATTACCAACCGTACGGTATGTCAAAAATGATACATGAATTATGAATGGGTTCTTAACATAGAAAGCAAGCTGTTAGGTATATAGAGAATATGCTGCATATTGCACTAATGATCTGTTTTAAGAGGTGCTTAGCAGCAGTCATTCATTACTCCAGACATGCAGCTTTATACCATACCAGCAAAAAGAATCATACAGTTATCAGTGCAGCTTAATTTTGTCTTTCATCATTGTACCTCCATTGAATATTACCATCCAAAATTAAAATTATTACATAGAATTTAAATCACACTCACAATTTTTAAAAGCATTATAAATTTTCAGATTGTACGTGATGTATAATGATAGCCTGGTATTGTCTTAT